ATATCGAAGGCGTCAAAAGCACCCCCTCGTCGCCGCGAAAGAAGAGCCCGCTCCCAGCCCGGAACAGTTTTTACTGCCTCAAGTGCCCCCCTGCGGAATTGAAGTTTTCTCAAATTACCACCATCAAAACAAGAGAAAAACTTCGCAGAGTAAGTCTTGTCACTTTTCTCTCATTTTTCGGGCCGATAATGAAACTTTTCACGCTGAATTTCGGATTTGTTGAACTTTCTCCCCCCCCCCCCCCGTTTGAGAGTTGAATGTTTAGCCAGAGTGACGCTTCTGTGACAGAAAGCCCTATACTTTAACGTGCCAAAACAAGATGGACTGCATTTTGCAATTTGGAACTATAAATTCTGGCTCATCTGTAAAAACACTTATGCGCATAGGGAAATTAATGGCACATACATTGTTTACAAACCGGGCTAGAATTTATAGTTCCAGATTGCAAATTGTAGTCCAAATGACTTAACGCTTACCTCGACTCTTCCCTACATACTTTACAGTGGTGTAGCGTGCTTTTCAATATATCGATTGATCTGCCATTTAAGTCTATGGAAAAGAATCGAATATCAAGGTGTTCGCAACGAACACCTTAATCGATTCTTTACTACAGCTTCAAATGGAGAAATATCGATAATCGATCCTTCACGCCACGCCATTGGTATTTTATGAACGGTTCTTTACCATACCTACTTTCGTTAACTCTTTAAATGAGGGGCTTAAGAGGCGCATAAGTGCAGTTTTTCAAAATATCGAGATATTAATTATTTCAAGTAAAACTAGTCTTAAGCTGCTTCGACGGTTGCCAATTGTTGTGTTAGAGCGACGTGGGATATATCGCATCAATTCGTTCCATAACTTCAGCTACTTGTCATTTTTTTCGAATTTTGAGATCGCACTTCTGTTGTCATGAGACCAGGGCCGGATTAAGGGGGCGGCCACATGGACCGCGACCCATGGCGGCAAATCTAGGAGGCGGCAAAGTTTGCATTTTTTTAAATGTATAGGTATAAGGAAAAATCGGATTTAGAAAAAAAATTACAAACAAAATCTCTCATTTCCTGAGAGTATAGTAATTTCTAATTTTGTCGTCTTTCGGTGATACAAGAGACAACTCCTTTAATAAATCGAGTTAAGAGAGAGACCAAATACGCAATTTGGCCAGGAACGGCGCGACTGAGAGAGAAATGATGACGAGTACTTGAGATGATAAGGAGAAGCCCTCGGCGCGGCGGTCGGCATGTCACACATATTAGCGCCTACAAGACTGCACGAATACTTCACGCATTGCATCAAACAAAGTGCGGTCACTTCGGTCAGCGTGTAATGGATAGTGCCTACAAGATTGCGTGAATACTTCACGCATTGCGCCAAACACAGTGCGGTCAGCGTGAAACGCATAGCGCCTACAAGACTCACGAATTGCGTCAAACACAGTGCTTTCAGCAGCGGTCGTCAGCGTGAAACGCATAGCGCCTGCAAGACTCACGAATTGCGTCAAACACAGTGCGTTCAGCAGCGGTCGTCGGCGTGAAACTCATAGCGCCTACAAAACTGTCGGGATACTTCACGCATTGCTCCAAACACGGTGCGGTCTGCGGGGCGCGGCGGCGGAAGTTAAAATCATTAAACCACGCACATTTATGTATGTTTGTTCCTTCATAATTTTTTCGTTCATTCCCTATGAATGGAAGGCCTTGTCCACGCAGAGATAGGTTTACGGAACTTAACGTTCGCGCAAAGTTCGGTGAATTTTTGCTAGTAGTGTTGGCAGGGCTTTCCCGAAAAATGTTTCCAACACGTGTAAACGCGTCTTTTGCACCCCACCCCCGCTGGCACGTTCACTTGATGGTTTTTATTGATGTTTCAAAAAGAATGAGAAGGGGGCGGCAAAACACAGGCGGCCCATGGGCGGCAAGTAGGTGAATCCGGCCCTGCGTAAAGAATTCACGTACCAAAGAACTTGATGCAAAAACGGCTTTTTTCGCCCCCCTCTGGAAGTTCTTCAGACTTTGTCTATTGATTACTCATACTTGAGCGCTTCTTTTCCCAAATTTTCAGACCCCCAAAAAATTTTGGGGGGGAGCTAGGGGGGGTGGAAGTCAAAACCTGTGAACCTCGATATCTCTTGAACAAAGAAAGATATTGAGGTCCGGTTTGGACGAAAAATCTTCTAAAATTGCATACTTTAAGATTCTAAAGGTCAAAATCCCGATATCACATTTTTAAGTTAACATATGTGCTTTTTTCCAGTTTTTAGGTCAAGGAAATTTTTTTTAAACGAAAAATTTACAAAGATCTCAACTTTTTATTTGAACCAAAACCAGTTTTTTAAATTGTTCGTCTTTTTCCGCATCCAACAAGTGGTCGTATAAGGTGGGGAACCGAACGCCGAACGGTTCCGGAGTTTTGATCGATTGAAGTTTCCGCTCAACGCGCGCCGACCGATTTTCGCGCGCAAAAAAGTCGGATTTGACTGTTATTAGATCAGATTGAATGTTCAAACTGAGCAAAATGCTTTATTAGGGACTCTTGAGGGTCGCTGAGTTCAGAAATTTCCGATACTTCCAAAAAATTCTCGTTTTTAAAATTGCAGCTTCGGACAGGACCACTGAGCGGCCGGTCGGCGCTCAGTGGGCCTCTAAAATAGCGCTGCGGAGCTGTAATTTTAAAAACGTAAATTATTTGGAAGTATCTGTAATTTCTGAACTCAGCTACCCTCAAGAGTCCCTAATAAAGCATTTTGCTCAGTTTGAACATTCAATCTGATCTAATAACAGTCAAATCCGACTTTTTTGCGCACGAAAATCGGTCGGCGCGCGTTGAGCGGAAACTTCAATCGATCATAACTCCGGAACCGTTCGGTTCCCCAGCTTATACGACCACTCGTTGGATGCGGAAAAAGACGAACAATTTAAAAAACGGGTTTTGGTTCAAATAAAAAATTGAGATCTTTGTAAATTTTTCGTTTAAAAGAAATTTTCTTGACCTAAAAACTGGAAAAAAGCACATATCGACGGTGAAACTACCAAACCACGTATCTCGTTTGCGGTGTTTAAAAATCTACGCTCACATTTTATTTTTTTGAAGTAGACCAAATCAATATCATTCCTTGAAATTTTCACAGAATTTTCTCCGCACGAAGAGGAAAAATCACAGAAATTTTCAAGAGTGGACGTTAAGTAGTTTTTCATTTAAAAAATAAAGTATGACAGGAAGTCTGCGACGTCGCAAACCGAGATACGTGGTTTGGTAGTTTCACCGTCGATATGTTAACTTAAAAATGTGTTATCGGGATTTTGACCTTTAGAATCTTAAAGTATGCAATTTTAGAAGATTTTTCGTCCAAACCGGACCTCAATATCTTTCTTTGTTCAAGAGATATCGAGGTTCACAGGTTTTGACTTCCACCCCCCCTAGCTCCCCCTCAAAATTTTTTGGGGGTCTGAAAATTTGGGAAAAGAAGCGCTCAAGTATGAGTAATCAATAGACAAAGTCTGAAGAACTTCCAGAGGGGGGCGAAAAAAGCCGTTTTTGCATCAAGCTCTTTGACAAAGAAATTCAACGTATTAAAGGCAGGGTTTTTCTAGATTAAAAGTATCGCATTCGATACTGATATCGGAACTGCACTCGAATGCGATATTTTACGTCTGAAAAACTCCTGCCCTCATTACGTTGAATTTATTTGTCAAATTTGGTACATGAATTCTTTAGCCTTATGACAACAGAAGTGTGATCTCAAAATTCGAAGATAATGACAAGTAAATTATGGAACTGAATTTATGGAACGAATTGATGCGATATACCTCACGTCGCTCCGAAAGAAGAAATGACAACCGTCGAATCACCTTAATGCATATTCTATGAAAAATTCGCTCCCAAATTCCAATTTTTAAGCTTCAAAAAGTCAGTCCAAACTTTCTCTCCGCCGTAAGGATCCATGTAATTTCGAAACTTCGAACACGTACTTCTCGAAATAGCAAAAACTGCCCCCATGCGTCTTGTCCTCTAAATCCTTCAAGTGAACTTTCACCAGCCGGGTGACAAGTTCCTAAAAAGTCATCGAAAACCTGAAAAATCAGGGAATTTCGCTGTGGAATCTTGAAATTTCTTTCTTCCAACCAACAAATTTGATTATTTTCTGCCGCGCTCACAGGATCTAATGGCGGGTATCAGAACTTCTGCATTAAGGTTTAAATTTCAGATTTTTATTTCGAAATAATTATGAGAAGTTGCGCTGTAAACGTTTTAATGTAAACATTTTCATGAGAAATCATGCCCTTAAAAACATTGAGAAATCATGGAAATACCAGACAGTTTGATGTTCCAAAATCTTGAAAAATCGGGGAAAGGTCGGGGAATTTTGATATCTAAGATAATTTGTCATCTTGACTAGCTAACAGTCGAAGATATTTCAGCTTGTTGTGTATCTCATCCAGAGTCGAGCAAGTAGAAAGAATAATTTTGCGAAGAAGCTAACACCTTCCAAAAGGAATGAAGTGGCAATATCCCGTCTATTTTCGTTGAAATAAAGGAAGATAGAGGAAGAGTAATGCTTCCTTCGCCCCAAATTATTTTTTCCTCAACATCATCTGAGGGGCTTGGAAGACGAGGCGCATAAGTGCAGTTTTTGGAAAAATTGAGGTATCAATGATTTCAAGTGAAACTAGCCTTAATGCATATTTTGAGAAAAATTCGCTCCCAAATTCCAATCTTTAAGCATCAAAAAGTCAGTTTAAACTTGCTTTCCCCCATAAGGATCCATGTAATTTCGAGCCTTCAAACACGCATTTCTCGAAATAGCAGAAACTGCACCTAAGCCCCTCATCTCGTCTTTACGAGCACTCTCAAGTGCTTGTCTAGTCAAGTGCTGCGTAGGATCGTAAGAGGGGAAGTTTTGTGTCACTTGACTTCAAGTACCAAAATCTGGTTTTATTCTGCACTAAGAGTTACAAAAGCCTTGGAGCAGTCGTTTAATGGTTGATTCGGCTTTGTTTCAGGAAGACAGGGACTATATTGGGTTCGCCACCCTCCCGGAACAAGTTCATCGCAAATCCGTCAAGAGAGGCTTCGACTTCACCCTCATGGTGGTGGGTGACTCTGGACTTGGAAAATCAACCCTCATCAACAGTCTCTTCCTCAGCGATCTCTATCAAGATCGCAAAATCCCCAATGTCAATGGTGAGTCTGATGAGATTAAGCGATTGAAACATATCTTATTGAAGGATCTGGAAAAAGTAGGGCTGTGCAGTTTTTTTTTTTTTTTTTTTTTTTTTTTTTTTTCATATGAAATCGGATTGAGCAATTTGAAAAATTTCAATTTCGAATCGAATCGAATATTTTTAACTAATTTTGACCCAAACCAGCTTCTTTGTTGGTCAAAGTAAAAGTCGGATGTACCTATAATTTTGCATTAATACTCATTTTTTTGGCACAGAATCAATGACACATTCTTTTTTTCTTCATTTACTTAAAGTTTAAAGGTGTCAAAAGGTGAGTGTGTAGGGTTTCAAACCCGCAATATATTGCATTTACAATTGCAAAAGCTAAGTCAATTTTGAGGAAAGAAATTACCGTAAAGATAAAAAGATCAAGAATCAATCGATTCATTAAATAAGGGGTAAAATGATAAACCTCTGTCTCCAAAAAAATTAGTGCTTTACCCTTTCCTGGTTTTATCATGTATGTAATATGTAATTTAATTTGTTACAACTTGTGTTTCAGAACGATTGGAAAAAACAACATCAATCGAAAAAAAAAGTATGGATATTGAGGAAAGAGGCGTGAAGTTGAGACTAACTGTCGTTGATACTCCAGGTATATATCATTAATCAGTGAAAAAACAAAGCCAAACATCATTTCTTTCTCTTTCTTTCAATTTCATTCAGTTTAAATGTACTTATCTTGGTTCAAATATTTATTTTATCTAAAGACAACACTAACAACGAAGTTATGCTATTGCTTAAAATTTTCTCAGAAAATTCTTCACACAGAATAGAAAAACCAGGATTGTTTTTAGGAAATGACATCGAGTATTTTTTCATTTGAAAATATGCAGTGTCGCAAATTGAGGTTCATGTTTCTACAGATTCATCATCGATTTGTGCTGAAGGAAAACAATTCTACTAAGTGTTAAAAAATAACAAGAATTGTATCTTGATTCTCCCCTCCCTCNCCCCCCCCAGAAAAAAAAAAATGATGAAAGAATTAAGTTCTGTCTATACATAAGCCCGTGTAGGTCTCCCTAAAATAAAACATATTTAAAGTGAAACCTTCGTAGAAATGCAACCAATAGCAAGAAGACTTGAACAAATATATGTACTTCTGTTTTGGTGATTAGTTAATGTCTGAAAAAGATGAACATTTCAGTGCCGCACTTCAATTTGTTCATTACTAAGAAGAAAGGAAATTCTCAAAAATAATCAAAACTCATATTAATTCAGACTGATCCTTGTTTTTATACATAAATTAAAACTGCAGAAAGCCTTACCAACAAAAGTGAGTTTTATAGAAACGCAGAAAGTCGCATTTTGGAAAAAAATGAGTCTGGAATTATTTGAAGTTCATTTACTCGTGAATTCTCTACTGTAAAAAATTAAAGTCTAAAAAAAACTAATTTTTAACCTGAATATAACTTAAACTCTGTTCTTGATATCGAGTCTCATTTAGGAATAATACTGCCAACCCTCTCTCTCTTGTTTCAAACTTAATTCAACTTGGTGCATTTCTGTTAAACTCGGTCCAACACTGCTGTGCTGAGGCAATACGCCGTATGAACATTCGAATATTGCCAAATTTACTTGCAGAAAATATTTATTCTTGAGGATACTTATGCATATTTTTCATTGAAACTTTCAGATGCTTAAGATCAAATTACAAATGAAATTCCCCGAAAATTTGGAGGGAAAGTATCTGAAAATTTTCCAGAAAATTCGAGCGTTGTCAAATGAGGTTTGGCAACGTTTGAAGGCTTGTGCGGCGTTCTTCCTTAGCACAGCAGAACTGTTCTCCATCATCTTTGACTTAGTAAGCATGAAAGAAGCATCATGCAGGTATACACAAATCAAGCAAATAATTGGACGTATTTATGCTAAAAAGAATTATGTGCATAAGGTTTGCATGCAACATAGTTCCTTTTAGCATAAATACGTCCAATTGACAGAATCCAAAACCACAAAAAACAGAAAGTAAAAATGTAAAAACATTGGCAAATTGACAGTGAAACTCCCAAACCACATATCTTGCTAGCGGTGTTTGAAAATCTCCGCTTCTATTTTAATTTTTTAAATGCAAACAAATCAACAGCATTCCTTGAAGTTTTTACAGAATTTTCTTTGCCTGTAGAAGAAAAATCATGGCAGTTTTTAAAAATTGTTGTTGAGCGGTTTCCTGTTTAAAAAAAAAAATATGACAGGAAGTCTGCAATGTTGCAAACCGAGATACGTCGTTTGTGAGTCTCACCGTCAAAATACATTAATATAAATAGGTGACTGAGAAGACGAAAATAAAAACTAAGGCTAAATATTAACGATTAAATGCAAGTATATTATATTTTATTTGTTTGTTTGTTTTGTCCACCAAGCACCTCCACAAAACAAAGTGGTTAAAGTTTTTCATTTTTCTGAATTTTTTGACAGGCTTTGGTGATGGGTTGAAGTGTGAAGAGAGCTGGAGAGCTTGCTGTAATTACATAGACGATCAATTCAGGCAGTATTTCACCGACGAAAGTGGATTAAATCGAAAGAATATTGTCGACAACCGGGTTCACTGCTGCTTATACTTCATTCCGCCATATGGGCATGGGTAAGATACATTAATGTTTGAATGTCTGCTCTGGTAGACTCAAGATTGAGGCATTAGTTCCACTGTCTAACGGTGTGTTATTTTGGGGGGAAAATGCAAAACTGCCAAAGAGATCCGAATCTATGACAATTTAAAGTTAGCAGTCCGAAAAGTAGTTTTCAGAAAGAGCCACGTTAAGTTTCAACTTACAGCGTTTTGGATTCAAACTTTTTGGACCATTACGCAAGTCTTTATTGGTAATCTTTGCCACAGGACACTGCCCTGAAAAGCTTTCAATCAAAACTTAAAGTATTATTTTTTCACTCAATGTTACAATACTTAATTCACAAAAAATTGACCTCCTTGGACCTCATTGCAGGGATGTAAATCTCTAGGACATAAGCATCTGTCCCACTCACAAATAGGGCTCAATTATCGGCCCTATTACTATAATTTCTCAGCTATTTCTGCTCAAAATTCCGTGAAAATAACAAGATCTGATCTATGGTGTGTCCAAACCACATCCGCTACCTACAAAAATCATTGGGCTGATGATTTCTAAATGGCATCAGTTAAAAATTCCATTGATGAGCCTCTTTGAAGCCTCCAGTTTGTGTGTGGGCGGGCGCTGTACATATGATAATTCACAACATATAAGAGCTCTCTTTTTGATGGCAAAAGACTTAGCACATAATACCAATAAATTTTGCACGATAGCACATAATACCAATAAATTTTGCACGATTAAATTTCGATATTATTTGACACGGTGCTCGTTGCAACTTTTGGAGTATGATGAATTTTCAAAATCAAACTTTCTTTGTGCCAGTCTCCAGCTGAGCAGGGTTGAAAAGTGATTTTTTTGTCTTGGTTGTCATATTGAAACATGTTATTATTATTATTTTTACAGGTTAAGGCAAATGGATTTCGAGGTTTTAAGAAGACTGCACCAAAAAGTGAACATAGTCCCCGTTATTGCCAAAGCTGATACTTTGACAGCATCAGAAGTCAAGAAGTTGAAAGAAAAAGTTCTTTCCGATATTGATGAGCATAACATTCAGGTTTGTTGCCCCCCCCCCCCCTTCATTTCTCGCCAATGGAAGATGACCCTTTTTTTCAGGCTGAACATTCAAATCGAAAAAAAGAGAAATGAGATGATCATGAATTATCCTAGAGGCCCAAGTAGCATTTTTCAACGGAAAAATCGCGATATTTCGAAATTAAATTGCGATTTTTCAGGATTTTATTGACGATAAAAATTGCTAGGATCATCAACATCTGAGCGATTATCCTCGATCTTTTTATTATTTTTTTTCTTCTTCTTCTAAGAGAAACAAGCCAACTTTATAGCTTCCAATTTCTACGGAATACTCTGCTAACAAAGAAAAAAAAACCAAGGAAGTTTTCAATAACCTACATAAACTTGTTTTCCACCGAAAGAATAAAGTATAGTTAGTTAGTTAATTTTATTTAATGACGATCAGCATCTAGGCTATTTACGTCGGGGACTAGGCAATTTTAAATTTTTAAAGGAAGTTTAAAATGTCGTATACGGAGACAAATTGTTTCGTTTTTTGGAAACAATCACTTTGAGCTCCCACCATGAAAATTAAAATTTGGATTTTTGGCTCAATTTTCTTCTTTTAGTATTACAATCAGAAGATGGCTAATTTTGACACAAGTTACATTTTTACACATACTGGAAATTGTTTGCTTGGAAATTAATGTCATCAGGGAAGTCGGCCATGGATCCGAGAATTCCAAGTGTGGCAAGCAAAATTATTCAATTTATTAAATGAGTTGGTTTGTAAAATCAAATGAATGTAAAAGTATTTGTGCAAAAATTAAACACCATTTAAAATTTTACATAGGGTGTTCAAAAAGTTTTGCACACTTCTGGATTTTGAGTAAACGAAAGCAGCTATCGATTTGCGGTTTATGAGTGCTTAAAGTAGACTTAATTACCAATAAAACAAGAACAACTCTCTAGCTTCAAAAATGACAGAAATACAGGGTTTTGAAAATGACATGTAGCATAACCGCCTCCAGGATTTTTAGCTACAAATGTGTTTATCAAGGGAAAAAACGTTAAATGAGAATTGAGTGTTTTTATTGAAAAAACTTATAAAATCTTACGGAAATTGACGAACTTCAAGTTTCTTCATCGGATGACACGGATGACTCAACATTCGGCTGTTTTTCGAAGTATTTTCCACCACTTTGAACACAAAGCTTCAGCCGCTCTGTCCAATTCACAAGGATCGTCTTTTGGAAGTCTTCTTGACGGAGGGTTTTGAAGCATTTTCGAACAGCGGTTTTGATCTAGGCTTTGGAATAGCTCTTTCCTGAGTTAAAGACATTTCTGAGAGGCACACGGTTTGATTCCATAGCTTAGATCAAAACCGCTGTTCGAAAATGCTTCAAAACCCTCCGTTAAGAAGACTTCCAAAAGACGATCCTTGTGAATTGGACAGAGCGGCTGAAGCTTTGTGTTCAAAGTGATGGAAAATACTTCGAAATACAGCCGAATGTTGAGTCATCCGTGTCATCCGATGAAGAAACTTGAAGTTCGTCAATTTCCGTAAGATTTTATAAGTTTTTTCAATAAAAACACTCAATTCTCATTTAACTTTTTTCCCCTTGATAAACACATTTGTAGCTAAAAATCCTGGAGGCGGTTATGCTACATGTCATTTTCAAAACCCTGTATTTCTGTTATTTTTGAAGCTAGAGAGTTGTTCTTGGTCTTTTTTTATTGGTAATTTCGTCTACTTTAAACACTCTTAAACCGCAAATCGATAGCTGCTTTCGTTCGCTCAAAATCCGGAAGTGTGCAAAACTTTTTGAACACCCTATGTAGGAAAACCCAAAATGAAATTTATCAGACACCTTGATTTTGCATGGATTCATCTCAATTTTCAAACACGGTATGCCTAATGCCTGGTAATGAAAATGTCATTTTTAAAGAATTCCTGTACCTACTCTCACTCTAATTTAATTTCACAAGATAGTGGACACCTTGGCTGATACTTCTGCATCTTTTGTACTGTAATTAGATTTATCAATTCCCGGAGTGTGATAGCGATGAGGACGAAGACTTCAAACAGCAAGACAGAGAGCTGAAAGCGTGCGTTCCGTTCGCTGTCGTCGGAAGCAACACTGTGATAGAAGTTGGTGGTTGCAAAGTGCGTGGCCGCCAGTATCCTTGGGGTGTTGTTGAAGGTGAGTTTCTTTAATTTATCTCTGAAGTTCGTCTGGGGCTCATTAAGGTGATTCGTCAAGCTCAAGTGACGCGGTCGAACTGGCATGCGATGTATCGCATCGATTAGGTAAAAAATCTCGACGGATTTTGAATTTTTAGTAAAAAAAGGACTATAGCTTCTGCGCATGAGCCTGAAGAATCATTCTAAACCCAAAAATCGGCCAAATTCAGAGAAATTAAAGCAGAATAGTGTTTGGAAAAAAACCTTGCATTTGATACAGAAATCAATAGCTGAATCGAATGTGAGGTTTTTTTCCAAGCTCAATTCTGCTTTCATTTCTCTGACTTTGGCCAATTTTTGGGTTTAGAATGATTCTTTAAGCTCATGCGCAGGGGCTATCGTCCTTTTTTTTGCTAAAAATTCAAAATCTGCCGAGATTTTTGATCTAGTCAAAGCAATATATCCCATGCCAGTTCGACCATGTCACTTGAGCTTGATGAATCACCTTAAACAAGCTATAGGGAGAAACCTTTTCTGTCAAACAGTTTTGTGCTTTTCTCCCTTTTTCAATTGTTCTTTTGCCGATCATTCACACTGAGTCAGCTAGAAAAGTCATCAATCTCCATTTAATGACTAGCATAATCTTTGTCACTGTTGAGCTCATGCTGTACTTCATATTAGATCTTTCAAGTATGGAGACTGCTGTTCTATTTAAATATTTTTATTTCATGGTTAACTACTATAACTAATGTTCCTGTCGTTTGACAATTAACTCATATTACTAAATTTTATTTTAAAACTGCAAACTGTGTTATCTTCAGTAATTGATTCTTGCTCATAACAGTCCACAAGAACATCAACTCTAGTAATCGAGAATCTGAAAATTGAGATTTTAGCACCATTCCTCAGAGTAATATTTTGCTCATCTATTAGCCTTTAAAGTACGCTTAAAAATGGCAAACCAAAGTGGATCTATGTTGACTTTAATTCTCAAAGTTTGATATTTCCTGGGCTCTTTCAATCTAAAAGTCACGTATTTTACCTCCGAATAGTATCATGATCTATAATTGGTTGATTTTTCCTGAAAATCATGTGCATTATTGAAGAAAGCTTCAAAAAATTGAAAAGTGTACATTTTACTAAGCTTCCATGTCTGTCATCAACTTCTGAAACGTTCTCAAAACGATTTTCCTACAAGTTGGAAGATTGTCCATCCTCCTCCATCTTCCTGGTCCATCTATTGCTTATTACATCGGTTTTTTCTGTTTCTTGCAAAATTAATAATATTTTCTTTTCCCTGTTACAGTGGAAAACCCGAAACATAGTGATTTTAGTAAACTACGCAACATGCTAATCTCAACTCATATGCAAGATCTGAAGGACGTCACAGAGGATGTTCACTATGAAAATTTTAGAGCTCAATGCATCTCTCAGATCTCTAGAGCCAATCAAGAAAGAGGGTAAGCTTGACTCTTCATTTTATTTTGAATTGATTCAATTTAACGGCAGATGAAAATGGAAATCTTTTTTAATTTTTCACTTTTCTTCCGTTGGAAAATTAGCTGAGCATCGTTTCAAGTGGGCTTCAAAACACAACATCCAGTTAATGAACTCTAACATAACAAAATCCTTTATGTATATTGGCTGTGAAAATACCTGACAAGGTAACTTGTTTGCAGTGTTTAAAAAGCTTTGCTCCCATTATATATTTTTTTTTTTTTGGAGGCGAATCAATATCATTCCTTGAAGTTTTTACAGAACTTTCCTCGCACAGAGAGGATGAATCACTGACGTTTTCAAGAATTGATGTTGAGTAGTTTTCTATTAGAAAAAATGAAGGGAGACAGGAAGTCTGCAACGTTGCAAACTGACATACATGATCTGGTAGTTTCGATATGATGAAAGAATTCAGGTTTCTTTTGAACTTTCAGAAAACTAGCGAAAGAGTCCAAATACAACGAAATCCCGTGACAAAGTAATTCTCTAGTAAAACTCCCATTTTATTTGAAGATTTTTACATTCCATGACCATAAATTTATTTTGATTTGGCAGAAGAGCATTCAGCCTAATCTTCCTAGTCACAGATGATGTAGTTTATGCATCGCATTTTTCATTGCCGTAAACAAATAGAATTGCACATTGGTAATGAGAAGTTGAACAAAATGATGGCTTCTCTTATGTGAAATATGTAACAACTAAATCAAGAAAAAAGTTGCTGCTAAGTATAAAAGATCAAATACACAACATCAAGTTAAAAACCTGGACGTTTCGAATTAAATACAACCCCAATTTCAACTGGCAAAAAAAAGAAAACTGTGTCTTTGATTGTTGGGCCTTGTCCACACGAGGGCGGTTAGCGGAACTTATTCCGAGGAATTTGTTCCCAGAACTAGCTGAGCTAAAAACTTATTCCTCCAAAACCCAGAACTTCCCCCGTACTCCGAGCTTCTATATATGTTTCTTTTGATGTGAATTTGTTTGTTTTTGTTTTTTACGTCCTTTACATGTCTTGTCATTTATTTTTGTTACTTTGGCGGCCGTAATAATCTATTATTTTGCAATAATTGTATAGTTTTATTGAAGTTCCGGTTTCAGTTCGGGCGAACTCGTGTGGACAGCATGCCTCGTTTCAAGGAATAAGTTCCGGGAACTGAGCAGTTCGTCAAATAATTGCTAGTCTTCATGCAAGACCGAGACATAAATCTTCAGGCATATTCTGTTACTTCTTTGTGCTAAAGAAAAACGCTGCTTTAACTTTCGATAGTTGCCAAATTTCCTGAAATAAAACATGTATTTTTGAGGAATGTTGATCATATTTTTCCTTGAATTTTCTGATGAGATTGAGAAGAAAATTGTTTGAAAACTTTTAAGAAAAATATTCTTAATTTTCCCAGTAAATTCGTTTTTTATCAAAGGAAATTTGACAACGTCCAAAGCCAGTCTTCCTAAGCACAACAGTACTGTTAGCTAACACTGTGGGTAGGCACTGCCGGTGTCGAAATGCTTCTTTCGTCATTAATGAATGAGCAAGCTATAGTAGCATTTCCCTCAGTGATTATTGCCTAGTTTATCAGCCTACTGGGATGTTTGTTGTCAGTAAAAACCAGGAAATATCAGGAAAATATCTGAAAAATCGTCCACGCATCAGGAAATTCCGAGTTTGTCTAGAATTTTTCAACTGCATACGGTTTAGCGCATGCAAAAGTGAAACATTTGATTCATTACATCAAAAACGTTGGCTTGTAGTATCAAACATGTATCACTTTTTTGGCATAGAAAATCAGGAAAAACCATCAAGAATATAAAAAAATTCCTATCTGAATTTTAGTAGACACCCTGCTAACTCTTATGAAGGCACTTTTAAAAAGTCTAATCGTTCACAATGTTGTCCCATCTTAAACGGAAAATTTCACTAATCAGCTCACCAATAAGAAATCAAATATTTTATTGTCTGACTGTCTGAAACCTTGAAATTTGGTCTTTTTTTTCTGCTGAATTGTAACATATTTATTTTTCTTTCTCTGTAGGAAACTGAAGCGAGACTCTGGGCCACAATTTGAGGGTGTGATCACGGAAACCGATCGTCTCTTACTTCAGAAGGATGAAGAGGTATGACTTTTTATTCTCTCTGTCATTAAGCAGTAGAATCCATGTAAATCGAATTGTTTTGGGGCTGGTGACTTTGTTTAGCTCAAGACAATAAGTCACAATGCATGAAGTTTTTGGCTTTTTTCATTTTTTGGAATTTGACCTTCCATTATCAACAATCCTTTTTTCTCCCAAAATAGGTCTTGATTTGTGGCAATGAAAACTTTGTGTCATATTTCATTTTTTAAATGGAAAACTACGGAAGTTAAATTCTTTAAAAATTCCTTGATTTTTCTTCTCTGTATGAATAAAACTCTGAAAATTACATGGAATGATTTGTTTTCCTTCAAAAAAGTAAAATAGGTGCTGAGATGCAGTCGCAAATCAGTTTTTTGTGTCTCCTGAAAAGTTGGCAAAGTGGCGCTTGTGATACTTTGGCCGGAAGGTGAGATCTAACCATAATTTCTTCAGCTTGAGAATGTCAACCATGATAAAATGTAAAATACAAATTCTCACCTTATTGTTGTGTACTTATCTGTGCTAGAAGAGTGTTTCAGTAGTTTAAAGTCTGAAAAATTTTCGACTTTTGCTTTTCTCTTCAGAAAGTAAGTAGGTATATCTTTACCAATAATTCCTATAGTTTCATCAATTTTTGTTGCTTGTTATATTTTTTATTTTATTTATATTCATTTATTTATTTTTTTTACAGATAAGAAGAATGCAAGAAATGTTGTCACAGATGCAGCAGCAATTGAAATCATCTGGGAAAAGTAACGATGACATCTTTACATCATCTCAAGAGAATCGTGAAAGTATCATAAATGTATAATCGATATTTGTCGAAAGCTCTGTTTGCTTGTTGTAAAATACCTTTGAAATTGGGTGTTTATATTTCTCTCATCACATGGCTGGTGTACGTAAATGTTTCTTTTAGTGTGCAGTTTTTTCTGATTGTAAATGGGAAAGTAGCCAAACCTCCGGCTGTCATTGAGTTACTTTAGATTTCAAGGTGCATGTTAAAATTCCGGCTCAAGACTCCATTATTTCTTCCGTGGACAGGTACAACAGTTGTGTAATTTTAACGCACAAACGCCTCAGGGTTTCATCTAATTAGATTTAAGTGTTTTAGTTCTTAAAGAAACATTACCTATTGTTCAAAATATGTTTCAAATCTTAAGGCTGTGTTTCCTTCTTTTAAATGTTAGGCAATACTTCCCTCTAATCCAGCCTCATATGAACTTCATGCCAAAGAAACTTTAGATTAGGTACCCGCATCCTCTTAGCCATCATGAGTTTTGTAATAAACAGGTTTAAGGTTGAGGATAACAGCCCAATTGAAGGTCTTAAGGACAGACTCAATCACATCACAGGCTATATTTCAATGCATGACTATGACATTGATTTTTTAGGTGATTGAAATGCATGCAAAACATTCAGTAATAAATGGATGATTTAAACAGAAAGCCGCCTATCGCACCTATCAGCGACTTCCTGTTTCCTGCAGATTTGGGTAACAAAGATGATATATTTTTCCGGTTCAAGAGTTAAACTGCAAAAAATTGCAGTTCGGAAGTCATAATGACGAACTGAAAAATGAAATAACTAAGAATCAAGTCATGCCGCATTGGCCGAAATCAGTCCAACCACAGTCAATTACAATCGGTAGTACACCGTATCATGTATAGGCTCTGAAAACAAATTGATACCCATAATCTCTCTGTAGAGTTCCTTCCTCTATCTTGCAAATCCTTGCCTTCCTGATATAGGTAGGGCTGTAGCCGCACTTCGCGATGAACTCTGTTGGTCTGTATAACTCATCGTTTTCTCGGGCTCATCTGTAAGTGTAGTTTCGCCCCAACGTCAGCCATGCAACAAAGTGTCTGATCTCACAGTAATTTATCTGCAAGTTGCTCAAAAGCAATCATTGAGTGATTTTTTTTCCATTTAGATAACTCTAGAATCCTGCAGGTATTATGTCGCTTTGATTGTCTGCTATTGGAAGGACATAAAATTGTATTTGCACGTCCTTATTTTAGAAGATAATTGTATACTCTTTGGTACACGAAAATGTATCTTTCCATCCTCTTTTTTACAAACTTAAATCAAGCCAAAGTAAGTATTCCTCGATCAATAATTTATCCTACCTACTTAATTTTGACTCTTCGTTTTCTTAGTCTTTCGGTAGTTAGGTTGAATTTTTTTTTATTTATTAAACAATAAATATATCAATATTGTATGTAAGTGACGTACGACTTACAGAATAAAAAGTTTCAAAGATTTTTCTTGTTTGTTACTCTTTTAACTCATTCTCGTTCACTCATGTATTTTAATGATGAAATCATTATTAATCAATAATTGCAAAAAATGGATTTATATATCGAATTTTTGATGAAAAGAATTATTCAATTGCATATCTGCAAGTGTCAAAGATTGGACATGGCAAGTGCCGACCTGCAAATTTTGGCCTACCTATTGGGCTTTGAACCTGGGACCTACAGTTTATGATCCTAACACCCTACCTACTTAGCCATCGGGGCTTGTGTCTCCTTTGGGCGAATTTACAGTATATAAGTCATTGACTTAGGCTCTCACCATTATTGTGATAGTGAATATGCGTGAGACCTGATGGGTTAAGATTTTTTGAACCCAAAAAGATGAATTTGGAGCAAAAAAGAAATACGCGTGTTACTGTCGTCACTTTTTTTATACGAACTGATTGCGGTGGACGCACAGGTCGTTTAGTATGTTGGAATTTTTTTCGCTAACGTGCGTTAAAAAACTCAGCATTTAGCTGAATATTCTCACTACAGAGGGAATAACTCCTTTGGAGTACTGGATTCCCTCAAAGAGATATGCTGTTTGGCGCAACACTAGTTACGTCCATTCAGGAAGGCAACTGCAGACGCGTTTCGGCCTTGTTGGGCCAATCCTCAGTGCAGTGCAGCCACCTGAATTTCCTGTTACCAAGCTCGAGAGGTCGTGAAAACCAGCCCGAGATTTGGGCAGGCGTAACTAGTGTTGCACCAAACAGCATATCTCTTTGAGGGAATCCAGTACTCCAAAGGAGTTATTCCCTCTGTAGTGAGAATATTCAGCTAAATGCTGAGTTTTTTAACGCACGTTAGCGAAAAAAATTCCAACATACTTTTTTTATGTTTATATTTTTTTTCTTTCCCATCTTATATTAATTTTTAATCTTTTTAAAAATAATTTAATACAATTCACCTTCTTGAAAATTTTCTCTCTTCATTTTTTCTTGAAGAATTGCTGACTTTAAAAAAATAAGAGAGAAGAATGAAACTCTTCGAAAATGTTTGTAACGTGATAACTTTTTATTTTTGATGACTGCGATTGTTACATTTTTTTAAATATTAACAGTTCAAAGTTTATTAACAGTTCCTATTCAATTCGACTATAATATTCAAGGATATTCTGGACCATTTATTAGACTTTTCTATTTCAATTAGAATATTAATAGTTCTATTCAATAGTTCTAATTAATTCACATTGGGCGGAAAAGGAAGAATGTGAGCACTAAAAAAGAAACATTGATACCTAGTTCTCATTCCTTACTTTAAAAAATAAGATTTGAAAAATAAGCTTTGAGATTTCCTGGATTAAGGCATCTTTTTCTGTGGACAGTCACAACTTATTCGTTAAAAAATGTCTATCTTCCATTACTTTTATATTTTACTCAGTTTACATAATCACATGCGTGACGTTTTAATATTTGATTGTATAGCTGCACTTCCTTTTCTTTACACTCTCTAAAGATGAAAGGAAGGTGGTAAAGAAGTGCTGGATCCACCCTATTTTGCAGGGAAACAAGGTGAAAAGGTTCAAATACTTTATTTACAGTAAAAAATGTTGAGCTCCAATGAGTATCCGTACAAGACATATCTAAGACGTATCTAAAAGATAAAAATAAAGGCGACAAAATTGTATCCAAAAATGGTTTGCAGGGGGCGAGTCTATGGTACGTGTACACGTAAAATTGCTAAAAATCAAAATCTTGACTGATCCTTTTTTCGAAATACGCGATTTGAGATTTTCATAGTAAATGCAACTTTTCCACTGATTTTGATCCGATTTTTTATTTATTTGTACACTGAATCGGTGTTGATCGGTTAACGTTTTCATTTTTCGTTCGATGCATGTCGNCGCCTTTAACTTCATAGAATGCGACTGAAATCTTGAAATGTTTTTCTCAGTTCCAAATCGGGAAAAATCGACAGGGGTTACATGGACTAAATTTTTAACGTCAAAATCGATACTTCGCCGTTCGGGTCGGAATCAAGAAAGCTCGCTTGGAATTGACCCGCTGAGTGGATTTTCAAGTCGGGAAAGCTCCTCGAGTCCCTCGCAACGAGTTATCCGTTGAAAACGCTCCGAAGAAAGAGTCAAAAATTGGTCAGAAAAGCTCGTTTTTGACTGTTTTTCGGCTAAGGAAGCCTCGCAGGGAGCCAAGACTGTGCGGAATCAATTCCTCGCCTTCAACTCTGTAGGATGCGACTGAAATCTCGAAATTTTTGTTGTTACGAATATGTTGTGCGTGCTGGTTTCAGGTCATTGCTTACACGAATCTCTGAAGGCGTTTTATGTGCGAGAGCAATTCGCCTTCAGCTGCGTCTGCAGCAATTGTTGTTACGAATATGTTGTGCGTGCTGGTTTCAGGTCATTACATACTAGACTCTCTGAAGGCGTTTTATGTGCGCAAGTAGCGTACCCTGTTGGAGACTTGGCGAATTGCTCTCGCACACAAAACGCCTTCAAAGAGTCGAGTATGTAACTACCTGAAAT